CTTGTGAGCAAAAAATCTACTTTGTGAGCTACTGGCCTTAAGGCTGTGAGCGAAGAATCTGGCTACTGCAAAAATTAGTTTGCTCTGGAGCCCTCCTTCCTGAGCAAAGACAAAGATCTGTGAGCCGGAGGCTAAAAAACTGTGACCTAGCTCACGCTAACTCAGCTTAGAGGGAACGCTGGACTGTGGGGTCTGGAGACCAAGTTCTGTGAGGAAAGGCTGGCTGAAGTAGCTGGGTATGTTTAGCCTGGAGAGGAGACGAATCTGTGGCTGCAATCTACTCATTCCTCTGAATTAACCAGCTTTCAATTTTTTTATAAAAGTTGCTAGCCCATTTGTTGCACACTTTTCTCCTTATACATCTTTATTTTATTTTATTAGATTTATATACCACCCTCCCCAATGGGCTCAGGGCGGTGTACAGCAGTTAAATATACAATGAAAACAGTTTTAAAATAACAGTTTATACCACAACAAACAGGACTAGAACCATCCTTTTTTTAAAAACTCAGTGACAGCCCTGATCTGGATAGCCCAGGCAAGCTTGATCTCATCAGATCTTGGAAGCTAAGCAGGGTCAACTCTGGCAAGTACTTGGATGGGAGACCTCCTTGAAGTACCAGAGGCGGGGGCAGGCTTTGTTCAGCCATCTCTCTGAATATCCTCCAGGCCCCCAGTAGGGGTCAGTCACCAGAGGTCGCCTGGTGCACACATACTCATATGCACACACACAGGCACATATGAATTTTTTTTTAAAAAAAGATGGAGATTCAGAGGAATTAGTAGATTGTGGCAATTTATTTAACTTCATTTATATCACTCGTTTCTCGCCAGTGGGGTCCCAGCGTGGCTTCCCCTCTTCTCCTCTCCTCCATCTTACCCTGTGAGGTAACGTTACCCACAGGGGTCATTTCGTAGAAAAAGAGGTGCAGGAGCTCATTAGCATAACTCATTAGCATAACTTATTTGCATATGCCACACCCCCTGACATCACCGGAAGTGTGTCAGAAGGCAACACCCACCGGTCTGGCTCCACTGGACTGTTTTGGATTGCTAGCTATTGGTGTGTGTGTGTGCAGATCTGTCCTCGCAGAGGAAGGAGCGCTTGTACCTGAATAAAACTTGGACTTAAAGGTGCCACTGGACTGTTTTGGGCCTGGGGGCCGGGGGGGGCTCTGCAACTTACCTGGCTGCTTCTTGCTCTGACTGAGGGCTGCTGGGAGCAGGGGGTGGGGCTTGTGGCATGTGCCCGCCCCCTGGGCTCTTTACTGCCAGAGCTCCGCTCCTGTGCGCTCCTGCAGGATATGACCCCTGCACGGAAGCTTATACCCATAATTAAGCCTTGCCAATCTTAAAGGTGCCACTGGACCAATGCTCCCTCTAAGCTGTGGAGTCCTGTGAGCAAAAAACCGACTTTGTGAGCTACCGGCATTCAAGCTGTGAGTGAGCAATTTGGCGACTGCATAAATTAGTTTGCTCTGGAGCCCTCCTTCCTGAGCTAAGGCAAGAATGTGTGAGCCGGAGGCTAAAAAAACTGTGAGGTAGCTCACACTCACTCAGCTTAGAGGGAACACCACACTGGACTCAAACTTTGTTCCCTCAAATAGAAATGTTTGCTTTTTTCCAAACGAGGCGGGCGAGCCTGTCTCTGAAACCTTTTGGCCTAACTGCGTCTGGCACCCTCGGGCTTCCCACAATGCATTGCGCAAGGTGTGTGCGTGTGGGTAAGGCACTCCCTGCTGGATGGCTCTTTTGCGGTGTAGGCCAGGGCAGGGTCCCCTCAGCGAGCGATAATCCTGGTGCCACTCTAATTGGCCCCGCGAAGGAGACTCGAGACATCTTAATAGCCATCAGTGGACGGGCCGGGGCTTTAGCGAAGGGAGTCGATTCCTTTTTAATTACGCTCCTCGGATTCCTGGTGCCTTCCCATGCCAACGGGCACATTTGTGCCAGCTCTGTGGGGCTTGTCTGTGCCGAGGCAGTGTGAGGCAGTGTCTCGGGCGCAGCTGTGGGTGCCGACAACCTGGTGAGGGAGGACTACCCAAGGGGTGACGAAAGGAAAAAGAGGGCCCCTGTCACGGCGGCGTTTCAACACCCTCGTCTTTGGGTGCGTCCGTGCATACCGTTTCGTGCAGGACCTGACGGGCTTGACGTTTCCCCGGATTATCTCCTCTGTCATGAGGGCATCACACCGGCTCCCTGCAGGAGATGGCTCTTTAGGGGAAACAAAAAATAAAGAGCGAACTTTGGTCGTCCCCCCCCCCTTGGTGCTCAGTGCTAGCGAGCTATGCTCCTTGTATTTGATTTGTGTCCAGATTTATGTGGCGGCAGCTCTGCTGACGGGTTATATCAAACCGAAGACTGATGAGGTGCTTTAGAAAGAGTAAAAACAAACAGGCGAGCGGCAGTGTGGCACAGAGAGCCCGCGTGGTGTAGTGGTCGGGCGAGGCCTGGGTCCGAATTCCTGTTTAGCCTCGAAACACCTTGGGTGAGCTTGGTTTGGTCAGTCCCGGTCAAGGTACTGTGCCTTGCAGGGCTGTTGTGAGGACAAAAGGGGGAGGCTAGAACTATGTACCTCATGCCGGGCACTTTGGAGCGAGGGCAGGATAAAAACAGATCGATAAAGAAATAGATAAACCGAGACTCGTGTGATAGCTGGCAGATTCCTGGAGCCTAGTTGTGCCCCTGTCCTTTTACGCCCCCCACCCCTTTTGGTGAGTATTTGTGTGTGTGTGTTTGTGTGTGTGTGTGTGTATGCCTGGAAGTCATGGTTGAATTCTGGCGACCCCTAGTGGGGCTGGGACATTTCAGTGAGGTGACCTGCTATTTCCTGCCTCTGCATCCCGGCCCTGGTATTCCTTGGAGGTCTCCCTTCCAAGTACTTGCCGAGGGTACATCTGATGGGTTACATCTTTTACAGTTCTCAGAACGTTGAGCCATGTTGGTTTGGTCCGTGGGCCCCAGGCGGAGTTGGTGGCAAAGGCCCCAGTAGAATTCTGAAGGACCGTCTCCTTCCATGCGTCCCCATGCATCAACTGTGGTCGACCAGGGCGGGGACCTTTTCGATCATGACAGCAGCTACCACCACAGCACAAGGACCTCCACTGTGTGACTGAACATAAGCTGCGGCAGCCATTTTGTGGCTTTTGTCCGCCTCCTGAGGCAGCCACTGTGTGGCATAGGCTTGCCAAGTCCCCCCGGGGGGCGGGGAAACCCCCGCCCCAGAGGCCCGTTCCCCACTGCCGGCGGATCGGGCCCCGGGGGGAACCCCACCCCCAAAATACGCGACGTGCACGTCACCCGGAAGTGACGTGACCACGCCGGGCACGCTGGGGGTGGGGCCACGGTCATCTGAGGGAAAACTCTATGTTTTTCCCTCGGATGGTCGTGGCCCCGCCCCCAGCATGCCCAGCATAGTTGCGTCACTTCTGGGAGACGGGGTTGCGGCACGCGCGGGCTTCAGGAACAAGCCGGGAGCCCCCCGCTCCAGCAGCAGGTAAGACTTGGCAAGCCTAGCGTGGCAGCCATTTTGTCACTGGACCCACCACAGTGTCACAGAATTCCTGAAGTGCCCGCAGACTGAAAAAGATTTGGGGACCCCGACTCACTCCAATGCCATGGAGGAGGGGAAGGACGTGAGAAATTACTTCAGCAGAACCACGGTTCGATAGTTTGCTCATTTTGGAGTGTGACGGCTGTAAATATCTCTGCCCTCATCTCCATGCGCAGGTGCAATTAAAACAGCTTTGAAATCTCCCAGGCTCAGTGGGGCAGAGGGCATCCTGCCGAGGGTGAATTGGCGAGGGGGCACTCCACGCCCAGTGCCACTTTCCTGGAGTTCTCCATTGTCTCGTTCTTTCTGTGTGTGTGGGAGAGGAAAGAAGCTAAAGCCACAGAATGAGACGTGAAGGAACAGGAATGTTTTATCAGGTGGTAATTTTCTGGTGCCGGAAAACTGCTTTTCCATTTCGACTCGGCGGTTTCGAGGGAATTAAGTCGCCGCCTCCGTTTAGCTTAATTACTTTTAAGAAGTGGGCAACCGCGGAGCTGCCAAATGGGCCTGGCGGCTTCCCCTAATACTGGGAGTAGATCGGGGAGGGGAGGGGAGCCGACAAGACACCAGGGGTGTCAAGAAAGCAACCGCAGAGCTGTCTTACGGCCCACCTGAACTCAAGTTGCTAACTTTGGGTTGGGAAATTCCTGGGAATTTGGGAGTGGTGACTAGGAAGGGTGAGGTTTGGGGAGGGGGTGGGACCCCAGCAGGGTACGGTGCTATCGAATCCACCCTTCCAAAGCAGCCATTTTCTCCAGAGGAACTGATCTCTGTAGTTTAGGGAGAGGCCGTGGCTCAGTGTAGAAGGTCTCAGGTTCAGTCCCTGGCATCCCCAGTGGTAAAGTACTAGGCAGTAGGTTAGACAGTGTCATCGATGCAACGGACATGAAATTGAGCAAACTTCAGAGGACGGCGGAAGACAGGAGGGCCTGGTGTGATCTGGTCCATGGGGTCGCAAAGAGTTGGACTCGACTGTGCGACTGAACAACAACAACAAAAGTAGGTAATGAGAAAGACTGACGAGAAGATATTTAATTTATACCCTGCCCTTCACTCGGAGTGTCAGAATGGCTGACGATCTCTGCTCCCTTCCTCTCCCCACGACAGATACCCTGTGAAGTAGGTGGGGCTGAGAGAGCTCTTTTGAGAGCTGCCCTTGAGAGAACAGCTCTGAGAGAACTTGTGACTGACCCAAGTTCACCCAGCTGGCTGCGTGTGGAGGGACGGTGAATAAAACCTGGTTCTTCAGATTAGAGTCTGCACTCCTAACCACGACGCCAAACTGGATCGCAGACCCTGGAGAGCCGCTGCCAGTCTGAATAGACAACACTGACTTTGATGGACCGAGGGTCTGATTCAGTAGAAGGCCAGCTTCATGTGTCCATGTGTCTGGAGAGCTGTTATAATGCTGGGAGAGATCCATAACCCATGAGGAAGTCTAAACCAGGGTTAGATTTGGTCCCCCCACCGGCAGTCTCTACAGTCTAGTAATGCATACATCATGTGAGTCTGCATGGGGGGTGGAGCCTGGGGAGGGTGGGGTTTGGTGAGGGGAGGGACCTCAGCAGAGTACAATGCCACAGAGTCCCCCCCAGTGTTCCCTCTAAGCTGAGTTAGTGTGAGCTAGCTCACGGTTTTTTAGCCTCCGGCTCACACATTTTTGTCTCAGCTCGGGAAGGAATGGCTCCAGAGCAAACTAATTTATGCAGCAGCCAAATCACTCGCTCACAACTTTAATGTGTCTGTGCGGGAGGTTAGGAGTTTAGGAGTGCTCCTGGACTCTTCATTGACAATGGAGGCCCAGGTGGCAGCCACTGCGAGGTCTGCCTTTTACCATCTTCGGCTGGCCCGGCAGTTGGTCCCCTATCTCAGCCGCGAGGACCTGGCCACTGTGATCCATGCGACGGTCACCTCGAGGCTGGACTACTGTAACGCTCTCTACTTGGGGCTGCCTTTGTTGCAAATCCGGAAGCTGCAGCTAGTGCAGAATGCTGCGGCTAGGCTGCTGATGGGTCTCTCGAGGAGGGACCACATCCGGCCGGTGCTGCAAGCGCTGCACTGGCTGCCTATAGCATACCGGGTTCGTTTCAAAGTGCTGGTTCTTACCTTTAAAGCCCTGAATGGCCAGGGTCCAGCCTACCTGAGGGACCGCCTCTTCCCGTATGTTCCCCCAAGAGCGCTGCGATCAGGGAGTCTGGACCTCCTTGAGGTTCCAGGCCCCCGGGACATCAAGCTTGCCCTAACCAAGGCCAGGGCTTTTTCGGTGGCGGCTCCTACCTGGTGGAATGAGCTCCCGGTGGAGATCAGGGCCCTGCGGGACCTAGTGCAATTCCGCAGGGCCTGCAAGACGGAGCTCTTCCGCCAGGCATTTGAGTAGGAGCCGCCGCCGCTGCCACTATACCACCATCGTGGCCGACTTAACATCTACCTGGCCTTGGACGGGGGCAGTCGTTGCCAAGAAGAGGAACATCATCCTGGCGCTCCTGCATTACACCATCGGCTGCCAGTGAGGGAATCTGCCATCTTGAACTGTTAAAATGAACTTCTATAACTAACTGTAGAGCACCATTTTAGCTTGTATTACTGATGTTTTAATTGTAACTTATGTTTTATTTCCGGCGTTGCCGCTTGTTCGCCGCCCTGGGCCGCACGGGTAGGGCGGGATATAAATCCCAAAATAAATAAATAAATAAATAAAATGCCAGTAGCTCACAAAGTAGAATTTTTGCTCACAAGACTCCACAGTTTGAGGGAACATTGGTCCCCCCCCTTCAAAGCAGCCATTTTCTTCAGGGGATTGTCTAGAGATCAGTTCTAACAGTGGGAGATCTCCAGGCTCCGACTGGAAGTTGGCAACCCTACCCATCTGAGCACTGACAAAGGCCCCCAAGTTCTGATGCGGCCGCACTAGAACCTCCTGGGTTCGTTCTTGGCGTGCCGAAGCGAATTTTCCCTTTCTCCCGAACTCGAGCCAAGCCGAGTCCATGAGCGCCAAAGCCAATAAGAAACATGCCGCCCAGAGTTTATTTTAGCTTTAGTCCGCTAATCTCCCACAAGCTTTGTGACGGGAGACGTCTCCCTCATATGAGTGCTGTGAAACCAGGGGCTTTGGGCCTGCTAGTTTTCCTTATAAAAATTAAAACACGGAGGACGGAGGAGGGAAAATACCACAGAAGGGATTAGGTATTTGCAAAATTCCTCCTTTTGAATTGTCAGCAGTCTTCTCGAAACTCTGAGAAGGGAATCAGGGGTCAGCCTAGTAGGGTTCCAACTATGGGGTGCAAATTTCCGGAGATTTGGGGGTGGAGCCCAAAGAGGGTGGGTTTTAAAGGGGGGAGGGATCTCAGCGGGACATAATGCCATAGAGTCCACCTTCCAAAGTAGCCATTTTCCCCTCAGGGAAATTGATCTTGTCAGTCTGGAGGTCAGTTGTCATTATCTCCAGGCCCCGCCTGGAGGTTGGCAACCCTGAGCCTTAGTTCCCCCGTCCCTGAGCTATTTTACTTAATCTTATCAGAATTCTTGTGGCTTCCGTCAAAGCACAACTGCCTCCCGTTGTACTTGGCTGCGAATCGTTTTGATGCGGCCGGACAAAAGCAGAAAGGCCATTGGTCCATTGGTCCATCAAGGGCAGCCTTCGGTGCTTTGATTGGTCAGCAGAAAAAGGTCTTTCCCAATACCTGAGATCCTTCATGTGGAGATGCCAAGGTCTGGGCTTGGGACTTAGATGGGAACTAGGGGAACCAATGGCTAGGGTGGCCAACCTCCAGGTGGTGCCTGGAGATCTCCTGCAATTACAACTGATCTTGAGGCAACAGAAATCAGTTCACCTGAAGAAAATGTCCACAGAGGATTAGGAGGAAGAGGAGGAGGAAGAGATTGGATTTATGCCCCGCCCTTCACTTGCAGTCTCAGAGCAGCTTACAATCTCCTTTCTCTTCCTCTCCCCACAACAGACGCCCTGTGAGGTAGGTGGGGCTGAGAGAGCTCTAAGAGAACTGCTCTTGAGAGAACAGCTCTGAATGAACTTGTGACTGGTCCAAGGTCACCCACCTGGCTGCGTGTGGAGGAATGGGGAATCAAACTCGGTTCTCCGGATTAGAGTCCGCCACTCTTAACCACTACACCATGGACTCTATGGTATTATACCCCATTGAAATGCCTCCCCTCCTCAAGCTCCAACCCCCAAATCTCCAGGTATTTCCCAACCAGGAGCCTGGCAACGGCAGCTGTATGTGACTCATCTGGAGACCCATTTTGGTTAACGGGATGTCCCTTTTCTCCCTAGCCTTTGACCAAAGGAGCTTTTCTCCGAGGATCTGGGTTAAACTTGGCGACCGGACGGTTCACAGCTCTGCTCTCCGGCATTTATCAGTTTTCAGCCAACGTCCACATCGGTGAGTAGTATCAACAGCTTCTTCTAGATGAGGGTGGATGAACTCGCGTTTCCAGGTCTGGTTTGGGAGATTCCTGGAGATTTGGGGGCGGGGCCTGGTAAAGGTGGGGTTTGGGGAGGGGGGGGCCTCAGTGGGGCATCATGCCATAGTGTCCTCCTTCCAAAGGGGCCATTTTCTCCAGTTGAACCAATCTCTGCCACTTGGAGGTCAGTCGTAATCCCACTAGATCTCCAGCCACCACCTGGAAATTAACCACCAGCAGGGCTTTTTTTGTGGAAAAAGCCCAGCAGGAACTCATTAGCATAACAGGCCACACCTGACAGCATCGCTCATTAGCATATTAGGCCACACCCCATGGGTGTAGTGGGCGTGGCCAACTCTAAAGCCAGACGGAACTCCGTTCTTCTGCGTTCCTGCCCAAAAATAGCCCTGACCACCAGTGAATGTACAGCGTAAGCAGGTATGCAAACCACCCCAAAAAAACCCTGCATGAAGTATTAGACAACAAATAGTGTCCTTAAAATGAATTTGTATTTTCTTTTATGGTCCTTTTTTCACAGAAGTTATCGGCCACCCCCTTTTTGTCTCTGAGTCACAAATAAAGCGGCTACGGATCGCCTAGGTCGCCGTCCATCTCCTCTGACTTCTTCAGGCCGCTGACTCAATGGTGGAGTCCCCAAAGCTGACCTTGCAGTCTATCTTGCTTCAATTCTGGCTCACTTCAAACGAGCGCAGCAAGAGAGCCGAACTGAAGCAAAAAACAACCACCACCAACCGACCAACAAAAAATGCCGGACTAGTAAATTTAACATAACCCCCAAAGACTGATCAGCAAGACCTGCAAATTAGAACTCTTTAAAAAGTGTCCCACCACCTTGGCTTTTAAAATGGAAATGGAAACGTTCAGAATGTTGCGGATTTGGAACTGTTGCCTCTTTTCAGGTGTCGCCAATAGTCTTTGATTTCACTTCTGCTTTTCCTCCCCCCCCCCCCGAAGACCACAGCGAGCTGAAAAGCAAACTGCAGCTACGAGCCAGAGACAACGTCCGGGTCCTCATCTGCATCGAATCTCTCTGCCACCGATACACGTGAGTCCGTCTGATGCCGACGGAATAGTGTTTTGGCTCTCACAGAGGGGCAGGGCTGGCCGAGAATTTCCCCTGTCATTTCCCTACGGGTTGGAAAGTTAAGGAGAGGAGCCTATCTGGTTCATGCTAGGGCCCGACCTCGTGAGGACCCTCTGCTCTGGCAGTTAAGAGGCTCTTGTGTCAGACTGTATGTGTGCATGGTTCTGTACACAATTTGGGAATTTTTAAAAATGGAGAACTTCAAGTGCGTGGGTTCCTGTTTGGAAACCAAACCTGACCATCTGGAGGAGAATTTCAGAACCCTTCCTGAAACACATCGGCAATAGGGATATGAAAATGTTCCATGTTTGAGAGCCAGTTTGGTGTAGTAGTTAAGTGCACGGACTCTAATCTGGGAGAACCGGGGTTGATTCCCCACTCCTCCACTTGCACCTGGCTGGATGACCTTGGGCAAGCCGTAGCTCTTTCACAGGTATTCTCTCAAGAGCAGTTCTCGAAAGAGCTCTCTCAGCCCTACCTACCTCACAGGGTGTCTGTTGTGGGGGGGGGAGGGAAAGGAGATTGTGAACTGCTCTGAGACTCCGAGTGAAGGGCGGGGTATCAATCCAATCTCTCCTCCTCCTCCTCCTCCTCCTCTTCTTCTTTTAAGACTATAAGAAGAATCTACTCGATCAGACCAGAGGTCCATCTAGTCCAGTATCCTGTCCCACACAGTGACCAACCAGTTCCTCTGGAGGTCCAACAAGGCATAGAGGCCGAGGCCTTCCTTTGGTGTTGCCTCCTGGCTCTGATATTTGGAGGATTACTGCCTATGTATTTGGCGGTTCCACGTAGTCACCGTGTCTAGTAGCCTCTGATAGGCCTGTCCTCCATTAATCTGTCTAATTAGAGTCGCCAACCTGGAGCTCTCTCACTATTACACTGGATCTCCACACAACCAAGATCAGTTCCCCGGAGGGAAAATGGCTGCTTAGGGGGTAGACTCTGTAGCACTATACACTTCTGAGGCCCTTCCCCTCCCAAAAACCCAGCCTTCCCCAGGCTCTATCCCCAAACTCTCCAGGTATTTCCCAACCCAGAGATGGCAACCCAATGTCCAATTCCCTTTCAAAGCCGTCTATGCCTGTGGCCACCGCTACATCCTCCAACAGCGAATTCCACATTTTAATCACTTGTTGTGTAAACAATTATTTCCTTGTGGCCGCCCTGAATCTATCGCCTGTGATCTTCGCGGAGTTCCTCTGAGTTCTAGTATTTTGCAAGGGGCAGAAAAATGTTCTCTCTATCCATTTATATGGTTTTATTGATGGTTCCCATTCGTGCTGTTGACTTGGCAGAGTTGCTTGTATTGCGGATGCAGCTGGTATGTTTTAATGTGCTATTTATATGGTGTTTACACGTGCAAGATATGCTGTTTATGTGATGCCAGGTCACTGATGCACAAACAACAGTACAAGCTGTTGTACGTTTTATGGGAGAAACTGTGGCGTGGGGGCGAGAAAATGGCTTCCAGTAAAGGACGATAGAAAGGACTCGCGCAAGGAAGGAGACGGATGCTGTCTGTGTCGTGTATTCTTTATCCCTCTCTGTCTCCAAGACGTTTTAAGGAGAATTACATAGTTTCTCCGTCCCTACTATATCCTCACAACAGCCCCGTGAGGTAGGTTAAGGAGGGGGGGCATTGGCCCAAGATCAACCACCGAGGTTCGCAGCAGAATGGAGATTCAAACTCAGTTCTTCCAGTCCAGCTCTCTAACTATTATACCAAATGGGAATTTTCAGATAGAAACAGCAGGGATGAGGAATTCAGAACCATCCCGAATTGGAAGTAGGTCAGATGGGAAGCCTTCAGCTCCCTGACAACCAGGGGGTTTTTTTGTAGAAAAAGCCCAGCAGGAACTCATTAGCATAATAGGCCATACCCAACAGCAGGAACTCATTAGCATATTAGGCCACACCCTGACAGCACAGCTCATTCGCATATTAGGCTACACCCCCTTGTTACCAGAAGTGTGGTCATCCAGCCACACCCACCTTTTGCTTCTTATTCTCTTTACCTTGTTTGTTGTCAAAACCCAGGGCTTTTTGCATGTTAGGCCACACACCCCTAATTGTAGCCAATCCTAATGAGTTTCTGCTGTTGGGTGTGGCCTGTTATGCTAATGAGTTCCTGCTGGGCGTGGCCAACTTGGGAGCCAGCCGGAACTCCGTTCCTGTGCGTTCCTGCCCAAAAATAGCCCTGCTGACAACCACTTGTACCTCGCTCCAGAGTGGGGTTGCCACGTCCCCACTGGCCACTGTCAGGGGATGGGGGGGGAGGGGAGGGTTGCCAGATCCAGGTTGAGTAATTCTTGGAGATTTGGGGGTGGAGCCTGGCGATGACAGGGACCTCAGTGGGGTACAGTGCCATAGACTCCACCCTCCAAAATACCCATTTTCTGCAGGGGACCTGATCTCTGTAGTATGGAGATGAGCGGTAATTGCAGGGGATCGCTAGTCCAACCTGGAAGATGGTATCCTTAGCTGCCAGCCCTCTGCTGAAGGTGGGGGAATCACCTACTCCCTGGCCACATCCCCCACTGTCAATCAGCGCGCTGGCTGGGGGACTCACTGGCAGGGGAGGCAAGTGTAGACTGCTGTCCTCGGTGAAGCAGTGACATCATTTCTGGCATGTAGTGGAAGTGACATCATCGCATCATGGCAACGCTCTAATATCCGGGCAAAAACTCTATGGTGGAAGCCATTTTTACTGTAGAGCTTTTGCCCAAACACCAGAGTGTTGCCGCGATGCGATGATGTCACTTCTGGTACACACAGGAAGTGATGTCGCCACGTTGCTGGCAACGTAGCCTAGTCTTTCTTCCTGCCTGGCAAGTCCCCACCCCCTGCCGGTTGCCTTGCAACCCTCCTCCAGAGGCCCACCTGAGCTTGTGGTGTAAAATCTACGGGGGTTCTGAAGGTCATCCAGCAGAGGGCAGTGGCGTTCACCCAGCCCTTTCCCCCAGGGCAATCGCTCTCCGTCCCTCACAGCTGCACGATTAACAACAACGGCACAAGGAGAAAAAAATACTGAAAAGAAATTGTCATCGGATGGTTCTGCTGGCAGCTCTCTAAAGCCCAAGGAAGCCATTACGTTCGCGTGCAGATTTTTGGGAACGCCGCCCCGCCATTTATCCCCCTTTTGCGTGACTCCGATGGATTTGCTCTCCCCATTAAAGTTCTAATTTAAACACTTTATTGGTGAATGAAACAACAGACAGGGCCCCGGAGAACCCATGCCAGGCCTTTTCCATAGGTTTCGTTGGCCAAGAGGCGTTGGAAATGGGGCTAACACTTCTTATTCGTAAAACTGAGGTAATGGCAAGCGGCGACCCGTGAACCCCATGGCTTGGCAAGGGGCCTTGGTTTCCCCAGAGAAGGGATCTGGTGGAGTCCATCACACACCCCGAGCTAGGACTTGTGAGGAGCGCTTCAGGATCCATTTTGAACACAGTCGGGTTGCCAACCTCCCGGTGGCACCTGGAGACCTCCCACTTTTACAATTCATCTCCAGACGACCAAGATAAGTTCCGCTGGACAAAATGGCTGCTTTGGAGGGCGTACGGTACGGCATTATACCCTGCCGAGGCCCCTCCCTTCCCCAAACCCTGTGCTCTCCACTTCCGAGGCACCGCCCCCCAAATCTCCAGGTATTTCTCAACACATAGCCGGCAACCCTAGAACACAGATAACTTACATGGCCACATACCGAGCCCACAGAGCTATTTTCGTTTTGAGAAAATTCGTTTTAGAATGTTCAAAAGTTCATGAGTTTTCAGGATACAGATTTCCCTCTTGAGAGTTCCGGCATCTTTTCCTCCTGAAAAAGCCCTGCGGAGTCAGATCAGCGGCCCCGTCTAATGAAGGATTGTCCGCTGACAGGAATGTGTCAGACAGCCAGTGTGGGGAGTCAGTGGTTAGAGCATCGGGTTAGTGCCCTAGGTTTCCTCTCACTTAATTACAGAGGAGACCACATTTTCAAAAAGCGGCCTGTTCCGAACGTTTTGTTCCTTCCCTGCAAAGAACCCACAAATCTTAAATTTTTTTCACATCGAATTTTGCCTCTGTCAGTTAACAGTTTTTTCAACCTTATTGTTTGCATCTGTGGCCTGTCCGGGGCAGGAGAGAAACCGGAGACTCATCAAGGACAGGAGATGTCGCGGAGACAAACCAATGTCTGTCGGCCAGTGCAGAATCAAAAAGAAACAGGACGGGCTTGCCGCTACCCCACAGGGTTTGGGAGAAGAATAAACTAGGAGGGGAGAAACACGTGCCAACCTGGATTCCCTGGAAAAAATGTGATTGGCCGTGTCCTTCCGAAGTCTCAAGCAAGGATCTTTTCGAGTCTGACTGTTTTAAGTGTCAGTAATTGGAAATGCAAAGGAGTGATCCTGGGATCGTTTACCTGCAATGGCAACCTGGTGGTGACCTTCTTTGCCTGCTGCTGTTCTGAGCAGTGGCGGGAGGGGAAAAAAGTGATGTGGTCATTGCTACATCACTTCCGAGAAACCCTCAGAAGCGATGTGTAGGGTAGCTCTAGGAATCAATGGAAACTCTGTGGTCAACCAAGAAGCGTCTGCCAGTTCCTAGAGCTACCCTACGACACTTCTGGATTTCTCCCAGAAGTGATGTAGCCACGCCACTGTTGCACCCTCCCATGTCCCCACCAACGTTCCCTCTAAACTGAGTTAGTGTGAGCTAGCTCACAGTTTTTTTTAGCCTCCAGCTCACACATTTTTGTCTTAGCCCAGGAAGGGCTCCAGAGCAAACTAATGTATGCAGTAGCCGAATCTCTGGCTCACAACTTTCATGCCAGTAGCCCCCAAAGTGGAATTATTGCTCACAAGACTCCACAGCTTAGAGGAAGCATTGGTCCCCACCCCCAACTCTCCCCTGGTTGCTCGGTTTGGCCTGTCAGCCTTAACTGCAGGTGACCCGACTGTGGCCCGGATATACTTGGTCGGATCACTGTTCCAACTAGCCCAGCAAATGCCTCCTCTAGACGGCAATGCTGTGCACATTTTCTAGCCAAGGTCATTCCCAGTCCTGCACCCCCAGATCCTCTGAATTTCAGGAGATGGGGTGTGTCACCACCCACATGTCCCCTATTTTCCTCTAGAGCTCCACCCATCTCCCTTGCCGCCCCATGCCCGGGATGCCCTTCACCTCCGATGAAATCACCGTGCGACAATTGTGGCAAGATTCCTCTGGCACTTGGAATCAATCTCATAAACGTGCCGGTGGGGCACTTTGGGAACTTATACGAAGAAGAAACGTAAAACGTTATCTACGGGACCGCTTTTTTGGGTATGTCCCCGGGAGGGTTTTGCACTCTTCGAAGAACAACTCGCTGGTGATCTCTAGGGATGTCCGGCTGCCCTCGACCAGGGCCTTCTAAGCCCTGGCCTCAACCTAGTAGAACTCTCTGACAAATGACATCAGGGCCCTGCGGTGGGCTCTCATGCAATTCCGCAGGGCCTGCAAGGCGGAGGTGTCCCGCCAGGCTTTTGGTTGAGGGCAGCCACGGCTCCATCACTGGCCGGCCCCCTTCCTCTCCCCCCCCCCCCGCTTGCTCTGAGCTCACTTTCCCCCTGCCCAGAAAGGGGGCTGGTAGTCTGGAATTGGGACAAATAATATTATAGGGAAATAGCCATCTTAGATGTTTTTATTCTGTACTGAAACTTTTATTAAGTTACGTATTGAATTTTAGTGTTCTTGTATTTTTTATGACATCATGCCTTGTATATCACCCAGAGCCCAGCACAAGCTGGGATAGGGCGATTAATAAATCTTCTTCTTCTTCTTCTTCTTCTTCTTCTTCTTCTTCTTCTTCTTCTTCTTCTTCTTCTTCTTCTTCTTCTTCTCCTTCTCCTTCTCCTTCTCCTTCTCCTTCTCCTTCTCCTCCTCCTCCTCCTCCTCCTCCTCCATCTTCTCCTTCTCCTTCTTCATCACCACCATCACCACCCTTCCTCATCAAAAATCAG